GCTTGCAGTACGAGGCATCGAGATCGCTTCGTCCCGTGTTCGGAGGGGGTTGTTTATTCTCTCCCTCTGACGTGTGGCAGGTGCTACGTTGGCCAGACGGGCCGCTGTCTCAACGACAGGTTGAGAGAGCACGCTTACAGTGTCTCCACAACCGTGTCTGGTCACCTGGGCATTCATTGCCGCGACTGTGGTTGCCTTCCCGACTTCCAACGGTGTGAGGTTGTTAAGCGTCATAGGGACCAGCTTACTCGGGAAATTCTAGAGGCTGTTGAGATAGCGAGGCTGGGTGCAGCATGTGTAAGCAGTCCTTCTGTGGCCCTATCAGGCAAAGAGATGAATTTTCTAGTTCCGTGACTTGCTCGATTTTTAGCACATACTCTGTACGGCTGTGTCATGGCGCATTTCATTATTATTTTTTTCAATGTTTTTTTCAATGTTTTTTTTTTTCAATGTTTTTTTATCATTGTTTTATTTTTATTGGTGATACATCACATGGGCTGAATTTTTTATGTTCTTTTGTTCGTGACACCGCAAATAAATATTGCGAGTTTGCGTTCAATAAACTCAGTTGTAAGTCAGCGCTACGTCCGTGTCACTTCTTTGTCTGGTCCTCGTCTTTCCGCGCTGTTTTTAATTTCCGAAGTATGTACCAACTCGCCCAAGCCTCAACTTTAGCTTCTTCCTCGAGCTTTCTCACAAGGTACTTTTTATTGACTCAGAAGCCCCTTTCCATGAAGCTTTACCATGACATAAGCAGCAGATTATCCTGACAAACGACAAAAGCTCTTTGCAATCACGCAAAAACAGCTAAAGCCATGTTGCTTAACCTCTACTATTTATAATTTCATATAAATGGTTTTCATCAAACTTTGAATGGTTTTTATACCGGATGTTTCAGCAATGACTTTCAAACGTTTCTACAACTTGGGCCATTTTCCTTAACCATATTAATATGGTTGAGGAAAAAAGAATCGTTTCGTGAACAAACTGCCAGCCACAGTGGACGTCAGCCATGGTTTGTAAAGTACAGATTAAGTTTTGCTGTCGCATTCCGAAAGATGGCCCACCCCATTTTTTCCCTTATTTATCTCTATTTTAAGTGGGCATTCCTACGGGATTTTATGGTACTGCGGTAAGAAGTATTCATTCAGTGCACTAACATAAGTGATAAAGTTTGGTGCCTCTTAAAACTGAGTAGATTGCAGAAGTGCACTGGTGTCATGTTTGCACTAACATTGTAGCACAGTGTGCATCTGGAGGAGCTTTCCAAATTGAAGTTGCATAATCTCTTGTCTCTAGATGCACTAGACGTGGGGTTCTCAACCTCGAGAAACCCCACCAGCTTTTTTTAATCTTTTCGGTCTCAGTGTTGATGCAATAAAGCAGTGCAGAAGCTTGAATACATTTTGGATGCAGATAAAAGGGAGTGTCTGTTCCACAGATACGATGAGATCTGCTAAAACAGAACTCAAAACAGAAAAAAGTGGGGAAAAAAATCAGATACAGTATAGACCACTTACAACGTAACTGCTTATAGTGCAGGACCGGGTATAACGCGGCTTTTTTAAACCACCGGTTCGCCTCCCATAGAACTCCATGTAATTACATACCGCTTAAAATGCAGGCGCGCGAAGGGAAATATCGGTTATAGTGCGGTTTCTGGAACAGCCCGCCGACCGCGCTGACTGACCGGCGCAGCGAGCACGCTTCCCTGTGCGACACTAGATAACGGCGCGAGCCGCAGGCGGCACTCGCGGGGCAAGAAGGTTGCTCGAAGAAGCGGGGAGAAGCGAAGAGAGAGGCTTCAGTTGCTATAGCGACGGAGAACGCACGCACGTGTCTCTCACGTGCGTGCATACCTCTGCTGCATTGGAAACGACCGCAACGATCGGCCAATCGCAGGTCGAGGAGAAGTGTTCGCGCGCGTTGCATGCTGGTCGCGGGCCGGCTGCCTCTATCCGCAAACATGGCGTCGGTTGTGATCGTCGACGTAGACGGCATGGTGGAAGCTCATCGTTCCGCGTAAAAGCGCTATCCTTGATGTGAATTTTTGTTGTGTGTCGCTATGATAACCCAGCACGTACTAGAAGGGAAGATCCACCTACTCGTGCGGCGATGTCGTGGCGGCACTCTCAAGACGGCAGAAACACCCGTGTCGTCGTGTTTGTTTACTTCGACTACAGTAATGATTTCTAAGCGTTTGTGTTTTCGAACATCGCCCGGGTTTCTTATTTGGAGCAGTTCATGCCTGTGCTCAAGTTGAAGGTATTACTGGTGCGTACCGTATAAAGGATGCGAATTTTCACGCGTTTTCGTCAGCAAAGAAAAGTGATTAGGGTTAGCAATCCTGAACGCTCGCAACCTCCGTCCGCAACCCACGACGCCGTTAAAAAGCTGAGTCAGGCAAAAGTCGCTCATTTCTTTCAAAATGTGTGACACACTTGAGAGAGAAGTGTACTAGTCTGGTGAAATAAAGAGTTTCCTAAAACTAAGCTTTATTTTTCATCTAACATGAAATAAATTGTTTTACAAAGGTAAGTTGTCTCATGGCATGTATTTTGGCCTGAAAAATTGATGTTTTGGATATAGCGCGGTACCGCTTATAGTGCGGATTTTCACGACTCCCGCGACATACGTTATATGCGGTCTACACTGTATATAAAATGTTTGTTCCAGAACAAAAAACTGCAAAAGCTAGAGGTTTAGCTTAAAAAGTTTATCTACCAAACATCAAGTCAACTGCCATGACGGACATCCCATTGGGCTAAGCAGTTTCTCAATGTGGTGAAGCACAGATAAGGGGCCCTGTGCTACACAACGGGACCAAGTGGAACCAAAGGACCAGGACAACGCCGTCTGCTGCGATTGGTCAGCGCCGCGCCGCTGACCAATCGCAGCACACGGCGTTATTCCGGTCCCTTGGTCCCGCCGTGGAGCATAGAGACCCAGAACTAAATTACGATGATCAGACTTCATCACCAGACCCGCTGCCGTTACCCGAGCTCAAAAAAGCAACGAAGGATTTGCGAGAACTGTTACGTTTGCGAGCACGTGCCAGACCTGTGGGAGCGGCCACGGCTGTCACAAATGACGATGTGCCGTCGGTTTCACTCTAAGCTTAAAAGTTGCAACCACACGGAAAGGGGAAGAGAAACATAGAAACCAAAACTGTAATTTTCAAACTACCTATGAGTTGATGCAACGAACGTGAGAGCTCTGCGGGAGTTTTGAAATGGGCCTCCGCACCCATCGATCACTGGTGATCGACGCTCTATGGGCACCTCGGGCACTTCGACAACACTGACATCGTCCTTGTCTCATATCCTCATCTGAAGGATAAAGCAGCTGGAAACTCAACATGAAAACAAGCACGAACACACACAACGGCAACTAAAATTTTAATGAACCGAAAATCGATAGAGGTCCAAGCGTGCCGTGCATGCCGGGGAATGTAATAGGGTGGTGTCTTGCATTGTCTTGCAATGTTGGGCCCCTCGCGTGGCCCAACCGCACCATTGAAACCTCCACAGTGATGCTTCCAATGAGTCTTTGACTGATGTACTCTGAACCCTTACAGCCCATACATACGGCGAAAAGAAAATGAAGGACGTTGCTCTAGCCGTTGCATAATGCGAGGGGGTCGTTGCTTCTGCGGCAGCGAATCGTAGAAGAGTCGACAAAAGTGACGGGCAGGAGCAAAGCTCGCAGCTGTCGAGGCGAGCTAAGGTGCGTCTGCCAGGGTTGCCTTCGACTGGCTGGTAGCAGAGCAAGCTAGGAAAGAATGGGTGACTACCGTGTACATGTCCACTGTCATGTCACCACAAGAATTGTGGCGATTTCTAGAGCCTCACAGTCGCGACGTCACCAGCCAGAAATCGAGGGGACAAAATACAGGCGCGGTAAACGCATCAGTAAAGCAAGTGTTCCAAGCAATGTACTTGTGCCGCATTTCACGTTACCGCAGAATGTTTACAAACAACTGCAGAAACTTAGTGTAATGCACAGGCTCAAGCACAAGACGAGATAGTGTAAACAACTTAATTTTCGCGGGCTCAAATTTTCGCGAATCGGGCCAAAGCTGAAAATTTGAAATCATTCGTGGGTTCTCATTTTCGCGAAATAAGTGTACCGTAGCTTCCGTAACATTCACATATTGCCCGAATAGTTTGCGGGAGGTATTTTTCGCGAATTGTGAGCGATTCGCGAAAATTAGGTTCTTGCGAAAATTTAGTCGTTTACAGTATTCAATCCTCTTTCCTTTGACTGCTGCAGAGCTGGCTTATTATGCGTTTTGTTTCACGTGCGATAAGAAAAAAGAAACAAACTGACTCAGGAAGGCAGTGCCCCTTAAAAGTACACAGAATCCCCAAGGAATATCTTTTGTCAAGTGCCAGGATGGAACCCTACTGCACAAAATAACCCCTCTCCCTCCCCAAGAAAATAAAAAGAAAGGTAAGCATAATGTGTGCAAATTTTATGCTGGCAGACAGATTTTGAAATAGGAACAATTCCAAAACAAGCATCTATTCTGAGGCACTGACCAAGAAATACGAGCAGCTTTTAGAATTTCTCTTTCTAAAATGAAGTCTCAAAACAAATATTAAGCAAAATACTTTTTTTTTTTTTTTCTGAGGAAGTTTATTTTATTTTGTTTTGTATGCCTCTTACCCAGTCATTGTAAACTAGAAATGTTTTTTGGAAGTCAGTCCTCTTTAACCAGATATATTCTTTTCGTTTTGTTCTAGATGCTGTCAGACGTGTTAGAATTAACTCTTTTCTTATCCAAAACCTTTTGAACATGGGCGGCAGACAGCTGCAACCTTGGTTGGGGGTAATCTGTGAGCGTTATTTCGGGGAAACTGATGTTGCACAAATCAAAAGTGGGTGATGTTTCGAAAAAAAAAAAGTGCCAAACCTCACTCGAAAAAAAACAAACGAACGATTGATTGACTGACTGATTGAGTTAGACTATGAGCGCACAAGGCAAGAGGCAGACTCACGTTGACAAAGAACGGGATGACCAGGACCACAAGAGCCACCTCCACCTTGGGATTGTGGATGGGCGACATGATGAACAGCCGCACCTGCACACAGTTTCGTGCAACCCAGTTCATTTCACCCGAGTCTATGTCTATCCGCTCGTAGTTCTCAACATACCACTGACAACCACACGCAATACTAGTTGTGACTCGCCACATTTAGACTGGAACGCTAAAAGCTTGACACACATTTCTGTGAGCAGCAGTTCAGGACACTTTTAAACAAAAATATAACTGTCAAACTGATCCTTGTGCCACACTTAATTTTTTTCCGTTGAAAAGTTAGGAAATGCTACTTCTGAAAAGGTGTTTAAGGATACATGCAAAGAAAAAAAAAAACATTTTTTTTTAAACAGCCTAGATAAAAAAAGAATGTTATAAAACAAATTTACAAGGAAGGAAAAAATTTTAGAGCTATATTTATGGTGCAAAACGAATTTGTAGCTGGCGCCTGCGGGAGCCGCTGTGGGTCACGTGGTACACCTGTGCGCCGTCACGCGGCGCCACTGCCGCCCTAAAGTCATGCCACCGTCGCACGCTGAGCGTGGTGCTAACTCTATGGCATAGTGCACCACCGGTTCAACGCGTTTCTCCATGCCACCGCCACCGCGCAAGCTTGCCTGCTCCGAGGCGCCGCCGCTGTCATCTGACTGGCGCACAGGTCTATCACGTCTGCTTGCGCTTTTTCGGGAGCATCCGTTGGTCTTTAAAAGTTACTTAATAATCTTCGTTTTTTGTTGCACTTGAAACAAAGATGAATAAATAACTTTTAGAAACCATAGGAAGCTTCCGAAAGAGCGCAAGTACCGCGTGACAAATAGCAGCCACTTTTTCACGGTGCCCGCGGGCGTCAACTACAAATTCGTATAGCGCCGTAAATATAGCTCTAAAATTTTTTATTTTTAGTTGTAAATTTGTTTTATGACTTCCTTTTCCCAACCAGGATGTTTGAAAAAAATTTATTTTTCCTTTGCATGTGTCCTTTAAGGGACCTCTTCGACATTTCTACGTGCATATCAAAATTAAGCTCTCGAGGGCTTTCGGATAAAAATACCTATTATACGTAATGGCATTAAAGGTGTCCTGAGGAGGTTTCTGAGATCGCCTAAATATGGCAATAACTCACTATGCTGGCTCTAAGCATTCTAGAAATCCTCAAATCATGACGATACGTGGCCAATTTTCCAATTAAAAGAACAACCAAAGATCGCAACACACCGAGGTCATCTTCGGCGATGGAAGGAGTGTTGTATTTAAATCTTTCGCAGTTTCTATATAAACTACCTAGATGGCGCCACTGTCCACCATTGCGCCCGTGTTGTCAGGGTTGCGTCCCCGTGGCTCTTGACCCCCATGTTTGTTTACCGTTATATAAATGAGTACGCCACCAGCCACCATCCGTGTCGGACGCCTCTTTCCTTCCGGGGCTCCCGCGCCCCCGGCCCCGCCGGTCATCACTTCGTCATGTGAGGACCCTCATTTTTTCCACAGGCCCGCGTGGGCACTGCTCTTCTTTATTTTCTCAGGTGACCACCTTTCTTTTTATTCCAACATTTTGGCGACGAGTATTTACTACAAGGAGCATGTTCTGAAACAAGGAACACTGTCAACCAATAGTGAGCAAAGAATCCTAGCGCCTCTGACTGGTAGAACCGCGGGATTGATACCTTGAATGCGCGCGCCTCGTTGCCCGTACAGCTTGGACTACGATTCAACCTAGCGAGCGCGCGCTTGAGAGCTGACAACCGGACAAATCACTCCCGCAAGAAAATACATGGTGCACCGTTTTTGAGACGATTATTGCAGTACTATGTTCCCTCTTCGTAAAGAATTAACATTTTTCGACTACTCTCATTTGCTTCTATCATCTACGAAAGCATATAGATTTTGTAATAACAGCGTTTGCAATCTCAACGAAATGTCGCGTTTTCATTGGTCACATGTCGACCTGGCTGCCGAAACAATGTTCCAGCCATCGCTAAAGATGACCTCAGTGTGTTGTGACCTTTCATTGCTTCTTTAATAGGGAAATCGGCCATGTATCGTCATGATTTATGGATCTGTAGGATGCTTAGAGTTCGCTGAGCGAGTTATCGCCGTATTTAGCCGATCCCAAGTATACTGAGATAGTAAGTCCTATAACTAAATTGCTAGGAACTTGGTGGCACTCTTAAGCTCCCAACCTGCCTCATTTGCCCCTTCCCCCAAGTTTATTCAGTTTAAAAGCGCCTCTTTAAAGAGGTATCTATTGACGTCTTAACTACGGGGGACATATACCTATGGTGGGCGGCAAGTACAGTGTAGACCGCATATAACGTATGTCGCGGGAGTCGCAAAAATCCGCACTATAAGCGGTACCGCGTTATAACCAAAACATCAATTTTTCAGGCCAAAATACATGCCATGAGACTACTTACGTTTGTAAAAGAATTTACTTTATGTTAGGTGAAAAATAAAGCTTAGTTTGAGGAAAGTCTTTATTTCACCAGACTAGAACAGTTCTGTCTCAAGTGTGTCACACATTTTGAAAGAAATGAGCGACTTTTGCCTGGCGCAGCCTTTTAACAGCGTCGCGGGTTGCAGGCGGACGTTGCGAGCGTTCAGGATTGCTAACCCTAATCACTTTTCTCCGGCGATGAAAACGCGTGAAAATTCGCATCCTTTATACGGTACGCGCCAGTAATACCTTCAACTTGAGCACAGGCATGAAATGCTCCAAATAAGAAATCCGGGCGATGTTCGAAAACACAGAAAGCACCACTCTAGTCGAAGTAAACAAACACGACGACACGGGCGTTTCTGCCGTCTTGAGAGTGCCGCCACGACATCGCCGCACGAGTAGGTGGATCTTCCTTTCTAGTACGTGCTGGGTTATCATAACGACACACAACGAAAATTCACAGTCAAGGGTAGCGCTTTTACGCGGAACGATGAGCCTCCATCACGCAATCTACGTCGACGATCAAAACCAACGCCATGTTTGCGGATAGACGCAGCAACACCTCCTAGGACGCAGCCGGCCCGCGACCGGAGAGGAGGAGAAGCGTTGTAATAGAGGTTGGGGGGGAAAGGAGAGAGCCAATAGTGTGTACGCACTGCCGGCATGCAACGCGCGCGAACACTTCTCCTCGACCTGCGATTGGTCTGTCGTTGCGGTTGTTTCCAACCATCGCAGCGGAGGGACGCGCGCACGAGAACGACACGTGTATGCGTCCCTCCGTCGCTATGGCAACTGCAGCCTCTCTCTTCGCATCTCCCGGTTTCTTCGAGCAACCTCCTTTAGAGTTCCTGTATAGGCTCCCTACAGGAGCCAGAGTTGCGCATTTGTTTTTCCCGCGCCGCCACGCCGCTATTCGCCGAGATCCATCACGTGAGGAGCAAAGCATCCGTTGGCGTGCAAGAAAGCCATCTTTACGGTCGCTCTGCCGACGTTTCTCTTGCCCCGGCGTATGTTTCCCTGCTTTCCGCCTCCTTTTCCTCCTCTCCCGTTTGCCATGCGGGGCGGCGCGCGCGGCGCCGCTATTCGCCAAATTTAGTCACGTGAGGAGCAAAGCATCCAGCTCGTGCGGGAAAGCCAGTGCTACGGCCACGCGCCGAGGCTGAATGCGCAACTCTGCTACCGTAGGTAGCTATACAGGAACTCTAACCTCCTTGCCCCGCGAGTGCCGCTCGCGGCTCGCGCAGGCTCGCGCCGTTATCTAGCGCCGCAAAGAGAAGCGTGCTCGCTGCGCCGGTCAGTCGGCACGGCCGCCGGGCTCTTCCAGAAACCGCACTATAACCGGTATTTCCCTTCGCGCGCCTGCATTTTAAGCGGTATGTAAATACATGGAGTTCTATGGGAGGCGAACCGGTGGTTTAAAAAAGCCGCGTTATACCCGGTCCTGCACTATAAGCGGTTACGTTGTAAGTGGTCTATACTGTAGAGAACTCCATGCAAGCTCTCTCACCAGCATGCATTTACTGCCTTCCACCAGGTTTTGGCTGTGCAGGTGAGGACGTGTTATAACACGCAGAAGGATCGCACTGGAGGCAGACCATCTACCGGCTATCGTATGTGAATTATTGTTCAAAACCATATCTGTAAACTTTTGCACTGCTTTATTACATCACTGCCAAGACTGGCACGGCCTCCTCGGATATCAATCAAGGGAGATCAATCAGTTCCAGTTAGAGAACCCGTGACCTACAGTGAGCACAAACTTAGATTAGTAGTCACATGACAGAGTCGACTCGGAAGACAATGAAGTAGTTGAAGGCGAGCATCTTACAACTAACTCAAGGATAAGTGCTCAGGCAAGCTGGTGAACCAGAAACATAAATAAAGCTAGAGACCAAGGAAGCAGAAAGAAACAACAAAAGGACGCTTTTGTATCTCAACGACTTTTTTTATCGCAGGATATGATCCCCTCCTTTCGTTCTCTGGCCCCGAATGTCAAAAGTCCTAGGCAGCGAAGCCTAACTGTGTAATTTCTTTCTAGATTGAGGATCACGATATCCGGGCTACAGCCAAAAAATCACAAGTTTGGTTTTAACCCGGCCCGGCACCAATGGGCTCCAGGGCCCTAGCTGCCAGGGCAGCTAGGAGCCAATCTCGGCCTAAGCTCGTTTTAACCAAATTGAAGGGGCAGCGAACATCTTTTCATTATAACCATTGTTCCGTGATAGCAGATTTAACCCCGATTTAACTAGTGGTAACGCGGAATGGATCGTGCGTTGCTTCGCGGCAATGTTGCAGATGGAGAGACTCGGCACGCATTTTATGCCTCGATGACACGACCGCCGTCGCGAGTAGCATCTCCGAAAGAGAACCGTGCCAAAAACAGCATATATGCCCGTCATAGCCGGCGCTCGAGCGGAACGTGAAAGCAAAGTTTGCAGTTCTCTTGCAGTGACACGGCCCAGTTCTGACTCTGCCATTCGCATCTTCCAGTTTCCTCTGACGTTACACTCGTGCAACGCACTTTCGTAACACGAGTGCGTTAAAGGAAGCGGCTGGGAGCTAATGCACCTGGATTATGGAGTGTTTGCAACTGTCCCGTCAGGTTGCGCAATTTACAGGCCGCGATTGCGGCGCGAGCTGTGGGGAGGGGTCGAAGGCGTCGACCGTCTGCGGGCGTCCCCGCCTCTACGCCCGGTTCGCTCTCCACCCCTAAGCGACGCGACACGCGTGCGATCACTACCAATCTGTGCGGGAGGCACCCGCCAGTGAATTTAGAGCGCTCTCCATGGTTCGAGTTGATCCCTTTCTCAAACCCATAGAGGTGTTATAATCAGGGTGTCAAGCAAATTATTGTTTTGAAATTCCCTGACTTTTCCAGGTTTTCCGACATTTTCAGGTGAAATTCCCTGACCACTCTAGAGGCACTTAAATATATAAGACCATTACAACACAAGGCATTGAGCATTGAACACAGTGAGGATCATTTGGCACGGGCCAGATCCAACATGCATATTCCAAAATATTCGGGTTCGTCCAGTCCGGATTAAACAAGCACTTTCTTGCCGCCGACATCGTCAGTGAAGAGGCCACTTCCGGAAGCACTATGAAAACACGACACTCAACCACACTCGTCAATAACCAAATGGCAACGTGGCCTCCAAGTGCACCTTCGGATACTTTTGGCTTAAGCCTTGGATTGGATTGGGGTCTGCGACTATTGCATTTGTTACTAAATCTAGTAGCTCAAACTGGATCCAGCCTAGTATCGCGCTCTCAATCCAATCCAATCCAAGGCTTAGACTGGATTTGTTGGCTGTTCTTTGCATCGGACAGCACACTCTACATTGGGTGAGCAGGGCCCGCGCACCGCTCTAAGCAGAGTTTATTGCATGTTTTTCTGCCCCCAAGACCTCAAGTCTTTTCTTAGGGCACTTGATGGCGTTTCCGGCTCATTTTCCCTGACTGGGCTTGCTTTTTGACAATATCCCTGACAATTCCCTAATTTTTCCCGGTAATTAAAATTTCCCTGGAAATTCCAGGTTTTCCCGGTCGCTAGGCTCCCTGATAATGTACGCTAGAGATTCTACCGACGCTAGTGTCTACGGGATTTCCAGGCTCCTACTGAAGTGTAGACAGGAACCAGTCCATTTTTGCAGCATTCTGACGCATTTCCACAAGGAAATGCGCAAGCAATTTTTTCTTTTTGCCAGAGAATTACAGAAATCACTTTTGTTAATTGGGTTTTAGCGAATAGTAGGCAACTTCATTACCATTATAAAAGTGCAATTGCTTGGGTTACAGTATTCTTCTGATCAGTGAGCGATGTTCAACTTCCCAGTATTCTGGGCCCAATCCTATGTTCCACAGCAAATGTGTAAAAACAAGTGATGAATCTAAGTAAAAATAATGCGTAAAAAGAATGTAGGGCTTGTTCAGGCAGTGCTGACATTCTGATGACGCTATATTGACAATCTGCATGATTCATATGCCACTAAAAAGACCCCTCTTCACGAGCGGTTAAAAACGCGTAAGACTAAAAGTGTGCAGACTACAAAAGCTGTTTCTCTTTTTATTATTGTGTTGATTTTATTAACTGATAAGAGTTTTCTGGCTTTCCCCCATTTTCAAAGTTTTCAGCATGCTGGTATGATGTTTTGAACGCTAGAACAAAATTATTTTTACACCTATAACATGAGCAGAGAGAATAAAACAAATGTTATTTATTGCAAATCGTACCCATTTCTTGGCTTTGACTTTATTTTGATCGTCTACAATTGCAGATAGGCGCTAATCCAGTGTTAGTGTGTGGTCTCTGCCGTCTCTCTTGATTTTCGAGACGTCCTTCGTTGCTATGGCACGTAAACACCCGTGCAGAAAAGCGTCAATGCCACATTCTCGCTAACACTGTCGAACAGTGTATGTAAATGAATGTATGCAGCTATTTTTGCGCAATGTTTAAAGCCCCAAGCTTGAAAGAAAAAAAATTTAACCGACCACCATTTTTGTCTACACAACAGAGAAACGTTCCAGGCTATTTATTGGAAAAAAAATACTTCGTAGTATTCCCTTTAATAACCAGGCACAGAAAGAAAATGCAGCCACCTTTTCCCATAGAAATGCATTACCAAAACCCAATTTGAGACTGGTTGCCGTCTGCTTCAATTTGAAGCCACACACTAGCTCCAGCTACACCTTTAGCATACGTCATAATAACTCTACGCTCGAAGATAGATTCTCCACAAGGAGCCGGCCACGTGACGCTTCCCGCAGCCGGCAGACGTGCCCTTTGTCCCTCACCTGGTCCCAGAAGGGCAGCTGCACCACGAGGGTGCTGAGGGCCTTCTCGCACAGCATCAGCAGCACGTACAGGGCTCCCTGGGCCAGCCACGCTCGCTTGTCAGGAGGCTTGCCTGGGAACGAAAGACGAGTCACCGCGGGATGCCGTGGAACCGGGGAGATATCAGAAACTACCCAGTTGGCGCCCACCCCAAAGTTGGAGGTAGAGCCAAAAAACTGGGGATGGATGCTTGTCAGGTCCCAGAGCCGAAATACGGAAGACACAAACACTAGCATGGAGGCAGGAAGCTTCTAGAGGCGACATGACGCCACCAGAGGTGAAGCCAGAGGTGTGAGGGGACACACCCCAATGACAGTGATGTGATTGGCCTAAGCCATTTTGGAGCACCTTTTGGAGCAGCCAGAACAGTGTTTTGGAGCAGCAAATGTGGACTTTGGAGCAGCCAAGACAGTATTTTGGAGCAGCAAAAGTGGCTTTCGGAGCAGCCAAAACAGTGTTTCAGAGCAGAAAAAGTGACTTCTGGAGCATATAATCTTAGAAAAATAAATATTTGTTTTAAGTGCTGGACAAACGAAGGCCACTTTTTGTGTTGTGTTGTGATGTGACGTGTTGGGGCGGAACTCGCTGCTTGTGTTTGTGATGCTGAGACATCCCACAAGTATAGGAGGTATTCACTGGACGCCATATTTGTGGGTGCTGTTTACAGCGCATGCTCAGAACGAGCTCACATTTATAGCCTGCTAAGACCGGCAACCTTGATGGTGCTAAATGCACGCTCCAAAAGGACCGCGGAAGCTCGCCGTCAGCACGCGCTCAGCAGCAGAGCACACGGATATGGCCGCAAGTGAATACAAAGCTGTAAGCATTGCCGAAAAATTAAAAAAAAAAAACACTTCCTATCGTTTTACTGGTTCCCGACGTGGCAGATTTTTATAAAAAGTAAGCAAACCTAAAACAATGAATTGCAAGCGTCCCGGCTCGTGCCTCTCGTGCAATCATGTTCACATGCACGTGAGGGCAACTTCGGCAGGCTTGCAGTTACACGTGATTCGCCGCGCGAGCGGAGACAACGGCTGTTCAACCGAAACTGAAACCATGCCACTCCGCGCACCGTCGCCAACTGGTTCCCAAAATAGTATGCAAAATGTAACTGTCCAGCATACGACAATAAAAAGTCCAGCGGCGCGTGCTTGGCAGGCCGGCAGGCGAGGTACAGGCTAAACACACAGGAAAAAAGAACCTGACAGTATCGATGCAAGACATTACCAATCAAGGTCAAAAAGTTCTTGGAGCGCTTTGTGCAACGACTAAACTCGAGACAAACAAGCGCGCTGTGCGGGTTCAGCGTGCAGACATTGCCTTCGTTGCTTTAGCTCGCTTCTCGTCATCAACTTTCTTTCGCGGGAGATTTTTCACGTACCGGGGTCCCTCTCGAAAGAAAGCCCACCGAGAGAAACCTAGGTAATCAAAACTTCGCCAAACATTAATCGAGTTAAAGAGGAATTTTTATAGCAGCGTATGATTTAAACAAGAGCAGGAATGTCGATGCGTTTCATTTTAGAAAGCGCCATATCTGCAGCGACGTGGGGATGGCAACGCACGACGTCGCGCGACCACGGCGACTGTGGTCGCGCGAGCGCTTCAGCTCACAAGTAACTCTCGCCACAAAAAACGTGGTTTTGTTTCACAGCATGACGGCATGGCTAGAACACGGCACACTAACGTCGGAGCGTCCGCACACGCCCACGTCTATCGCTAAAAAAAAGTAAAAAAAAAAAAAAAAAAAAGAAGAAGGCGCTAGACAAGATTGCCGAGACAACGAGAGCGCGAAACGCAAGACGACGCGGGAAAAATCATGCAAGACCGAATAGACGATTGATTCAGGGTACTTCGTGTCGGGCGGCGTCTATTGCCACCTAGCTCATACATGCTCAATTACGGTTCTTAGTTTCGTTTTCGAAAGGCGACCAAAAATGCTCCTTTGGCGCAGGCTTGGCGCAGATTAGCCATATTCCGGTGAAATGTAGCAGGATGTAGCAGGGTTAGCCCCTTGGCGCAGTTTGGCGCAATTGGCGCAGCAATCACATCACTGCAATGACTAGCGCCAACAGCTCTCCTTTTCGTCCAAAAGCGTCTCTTGGTTTTGGTCATCATTGGGGGCGTGTCCCTCCACACTCCTGGCTTCACCTCTGGTAGTGCCATGTCTCCCCCAAGCTTACTACCTCCACGTATACTAGGGTATACTTCAGCACTTAGCACTGGCCCTTAGCACTAAAGGTCAGGTTCACACCAAAGCGTAAATTCCAATAGCAGTGCATGCACCTCAGAAATTTTGAGAATGAGAGGAATGCCGTCTGCACCATATATTTGTCAAGCTCGGTGGATACGTGGAACGCAAGTTCGTCTGCTTCTCGCACAGGGGTAGCAACGATGTCAGAATGCCAAACATTTATAGGCTGACTGAAAAAAAAAAAAATAGTGGGTAGACCACAAGGCCTCTAGCCTCGAGGACAGCCCACTATGCTTTCAATCAAAACCAATCAGAACTCAACGTTGTTCTGACGTTACCACAACCCCTACAGAAGGAGCAAACGACTTGCTCTCTGCATTACACGGGAAAATATTTGTCATAATCTTTACCTTTATTAACTCAAATATATTCATTTACTTTTTATTATTGACTTTATGGGTCATTTGCAATTGCAGCATTGATAGCAATTACTATTAAAGGCCAGACCAATTTAAATAATTTGTGAAAAGGTAATATTTTTTTTAGATATTCATTGATCACTTTTCGTGTTTTTTTTTTTTTTTTTACTACTTCAGAATTGTGCACAAAAAGAGTGCTCATGCCCCGCCCGCAATGACACTAGGAAGAGTTATGTAGTTGCTTTAATCAGGTTGTCAGTATCTGAGCAAGGCGTCGTAGGGGGATGTGCTGAGGACAAACTGCTGGGATAGTGACAATGTGACTCAAACAACGTCACTCTTTGACGCGTCATTGTGAGCAGGCTTTCGGGCACTCTTTTTGCATGTAATTTTGTAATCGGGTACAAAACACCAAAAATTGTCAATCAATGTTGCGAAACCCTTATTATTTTTTTTCTCACAAGTTCTTTAAAGTAGTGAGGCCTCTAATATGAATTGCTATCTATACTGCAACTGCAACACAAACTCTAAAATCAACAGCAAATAATTAACAGCTTCTAAGTATACTGATTACGACAGTTATATTTTTATCTAATATCTGCCGAGCCCGATAAATACAGGGAGGAGACAGCACCCATATAACTCCAAACCCCTTTTATTTTACCTGTCCGACGAAAATCAAGTGCCCTGTATGTTGCATTGAATGTTGTTGAACACAACAAGCACACTGGAAAAGATATGTGGGGTTCAACCGCAGAACTCGCTGCGTCCAGCCACAGGAGTGAGTGCGAAAACAAGGCCGTCACCTGAGTGGCGGATTTCCTAGGCCACCTACTGGAGATCAACTCGGGGACACGAATGGGAATGCACTTCGTGTCAACATTTGGCTGGTACCGTATTTACTCTACCTAACCTAACCTAACCTAACCTAACCTAACCTAACCTAACCTAACACAAGCCGCCACATTGTCGCACCCCCCACAACGGGTACTAATATATTGACTTTCCTTTTTTCCCTGGCATCAGGGTCGGACAGTATCGCGATACGAATGTATCGCGATACTGTCTGACTGGTTAAAAAAATGTATCGCGATGCAGAAATACAGATATGAAATGTATTTTTAAAATGCTATCTCGATACGAATGTATCGCGATAGCATTTTAGAAATACATTTCATATCTGTATTTTTGCATCGCGATACATTTTTTTAACCAGTATCTGTATTCCTGTAATGAAATACATTTGGAATGTCTGTTTGTATCGCGATACAATCAAGATGAAATGTATTTCATTACATTTCTTGAGAAATACTCCCCCCCCTCAAAAAAAAGAAAGAAAAAGTCTGAACATTGTTTTCTCTTTTACTTCTGAGGGCACTACGGTCAAGGAGATGCCGGGGCATTGTTACCATGCTGACCAAGGTTCCTTCCGATTCTCCAAACTATTTTTCTATGCATCCTCTTCTCTCTTCTGAGAAGTGTTGCGTAGTCGGGGACTCGAACCAGGTGGCGTGCCAGGAGTGGTGTCAGAGCATCTTGTGCCGCAGGTCCCTAGGTAGGGATATCTTGAGTCATTGTTTGCTGGCATCTAGTGCCCGCTGCTAACCGTCTCTCTTGCCTTAGCGTACACAGTACACCCATCCGGCAAAGCTGAGTCACAGTCCGTTGCAGCACAAGCCTGGCGGTGGTTGACTTGAAATAGTAGGATGACTCACGCAGGGAAGTTCAACACATTTTTGATTGCGTCAGCGGCTGCACCCTAATATTGCACGGCTCAAGGGTATGTCATCAGTCGACGTGAACGTGACCCGCTGCTCTCGTGATCAGAAACCCAGGAAGGAGGCATACGTCGCCTCTCTGTGCCGACCGAGACTTATACACCTGCGACTCGACTTAAACGCGCTGTTTCTCGGAGAGTTCGCACCTGTACCGGCAATATCAGGTCGCAATTCACGAGGTCTCTGTTTGGATGATGCTACGCGAAACTTGAGGACGGCAATCCATGCGTTGGTGGCGGAGGGTCGGCAGGAAGGACCTTCACAACAGCGATGCCACTGTATCGTTTTTTCAACCGTAACAGAAGATAACACGTGTGTTCCAAGGATGCTTCAGGTGGTCCACTATTCTCGAAAATTCCAAATGACAGGCCTGCACGATCTTCAATGAGGTAACCTAAAACAATAGTACGTATTGTTCTTTCATACAGCAGCGTGGTAAAGTTTCATGTTCAAGGCCACACCTACAGATAAAGAATACCAGTTCATTCCATTGTGACGTCATGTGATCAATGTTGGCAGGGGCGTCCTTATTGGACAGGGGCGTGGTGACGTTTCAATGGGATTTAGGGGGACATCGAATTTATTTAGAGGTCGAAGCCTTTTCGCATCCCTCGTCAGACAGAATGGATGTCAGGGAAGGGACTGCAGTCGGTTCTTGATGGAACGTTTTTTTGAGCTTATTGAGGACTCCTCGTCGTCCGAAACCACTACTTTCAAGGCAAAGTGAAAAGCCTGCGGCAAAGTAATTTCGAGGTCAAAAACTTTCACTTCGAACTTCAAGCTTTATCAAAGTTGGCGTCTCAAACAAATTTGAAAAATGTATTGCAGTATTAGTATTTCGGTATTTCTATTCCTGCCCTTCCTAAAATGTATTCCTGTATTTGTATTTCCAAATACTTTTGCCTCTATATAAAATGTATTTCCAATATAAATCGCAATACATTTTTACAGATATATCTTAGTATCAGTATTTTAGCTACTATTTTAATGTATCCCAGTATTTGTATTTCCAAATAAATTTTTGAGTATTTCTGCCCAACCCTGCCTGGCATCATGAATGCACCTCCAATTTTCGGCTCCTCTCGAATTGTGCCCAACTAGGTAGCCACCAAGCCCACCAAGCCAATTTTCTTTCGCCACCAAGCGGTCAGGCCAAGTCAAGCCAAGCCAAGCTGCTCTCATAATGGCTGCAAGTGCATAGTTGCGGAAGTGATTGACCGTGACACCAAGCGGTGCGCACGCTTGACGAAGATTGGGTCGAGGAATTGTCCAGCCCCAGACTTTCGTCGCCTATCGGATGCATTGATGCTGCTGTCGTCTGTGGTCCCCCTTTGGACAGTGAAATCGTGAAAGTGGTTAGACCTAAGAATGGTCGCGTTGCTTTCCCTGCCGAGTGAGCTTCATAGGGCGCTTTTCCTTCGGCAAAAGGCACGCCGAAAGTGCCTTAAAAAGGTTCACAATTGGTAAAGCATGGTTACTGAGGAGTGCCCCACTTGCCATGTCATATTGGCGCCCAATGTGACATTTGCATGTGTGCAAAAATTGCGTGCGTGTGCAAGTGTGTAAATGCAAAAATTTCACCCGTGTAATGAACACCCCCCCAAGTATGTGTCAATTTGTAAGGGAAAAAAAAGTGTTCATAATGCGAGTAAATACGGTACTTGCACCCGATCAGCGAGGATGCGAGTTGAGGTCGTTCACTGACGCAGTGCTCGTGCGACGCTCTTCCTTTTACGGGGACATGTTACAGGAAGTGGCAGAAAGCCAGCCAACGTAACACATTCTGGACTGAATATTGCGAGAGCCGCCAGAGGAAGCGGGACTCTGCCTCACCGTACTCGCCGAACACAAGGAGGTTCCAGCCCCGGCGACGCGAGACGTGCTGCGTCAGACGGATGCCAGCAAAGATGAAGGCCAGCCCCACCGAGGAGTCCAGTAGGAAGCTCACGATGTACCTGCGCAGAAGACGGGCGAGCGCTCAAAGCGGGCCGGGGGAAACCATGGGTCGCAGAAGGGACGCGGAACCCGAGGACGTCCTCGTCAAACCCCGGTCGACCTCGAGCTTCCGGTTTTGTGCGCGACCAATGACGCCTCCTTCCACGTCTAATAACGGGAGCAACAGTTAGTTGTTTCAGTCTCGATTTAACCAGTGTCGTTCTCGATGGAGGCACAAAAAGAAGACGCAGCATATGGGAACTTTTGCGCGTCTATACTCTGTTTCCCCTTACACTGGGCCACAGTGGAGAATTCGAGCCCTGCCAGGAAACCCAACTCTGTGACTGCATCACGTGGCTGCATGCCCTGCACCCCAAGGTGCTCCTTCCAAAGGTTACGTGATGCTCACGTGGCATTAAATTGGCTTTGATGGCTCGTAGCAGACTCGTACGCGTTACTAAAAAAAGAGTAAGGAATTAAGGTAGATTTACAATTACTCGAGGCTAAATTGTAACCAATCGTTGTTACAATTAATCTTCAGTGAAAGCAAGTGACTGCGACTTCAAAAAAGTAATCCGTTACCTTTCGTTACGTTACAACCTTTTTGAAAATAGCGAGAGTGCACATACATAGCTTTGATAGGTGCTGAAGATGCGCGAGAGCAGATTCCAAAAAGTCCTTTTGTGATGCAAACACCCTGGGAAGAAGGGGCTTCAGTAGTACCTTGAAAAGGATTTCCTGCAGCCTCCGTCCACCCAAACTGAAAAATAATCTTGCTATTGGTGATCCTGGAGGCCAAATGAAGACGGTTTTTTCGTTTTCACTCATGCACAGAACCGCTTCAGTTTCCATTTAAAGTTGTGAGTGTGCATGTCCTCTATTGATGTTTGTTAGCAAACACCTGTAGCCATTAACTAAACACCTACTGTAAAATGGCAGCACAGCACCTTGAGAAATTGACGTATGCTACGGTGTAGTGGCTCCCCACCTGTCCAAAGGGCGGGTCTCAGTTCACAACAGAGGCTTTTATTACAAAAGGCAGTATTTGTACAGGTAATGCCACTGTAGCTGTACAATGTTCCCAGCTCGTCGTGTCCAGTGCCTTCGCACCACTACCGCTCCACTCCATTTCACCTGATGATGGAGCGCAGCAAACGCAATGAGCCATCCCAGCCAAAGTGGCACTTTGAAAGAATCACGGGATTATGTGCTCCATCCATTGCTGCAGCCTCCTCGAAGCTCACGTGGCACTCGCGCAACATTTGAATTGGCTTCGTTGGCTCGTAGTTCCCTCTGGCGTCTGTCGCGAGATGAAACGAAGTATTTCTACAATCGCACAGCTGCTTTCCTGTTATTGCGATTTCCCGTGAAGTGCTACAGAACGTAGACGTGTAGACGAAACCAGACGTCCTTACTGCGATGTGCTAAAATCTCTGCAACATAAACGCGGGTTGTACTGGAGGGTGTGTCGGTGAAAGGATATGATGAACATCCTCGTCTTTGCTTCCGACATCCAGAAGGTTATCTAATTAAACTACACTCTAAGAAAGGCCTGCCCATTTACTTACCCGCACAACACTCGAAGAGCCAATTTCTGCGATCTACGAAATCAGCTCAGCGAATGATGAGGCGGAACATCCGTTTAGACCTAACAATGAAGTCTGCACGTGGCATTACGCAATGCAAAGCGTCATGCTTGCACTGCGTAATGCCACAGTGCAGACTAAATTTTGAGGTCTAAACAAATGTTCCACCTCATCATTCGCTGAGCTGATTTTGTAGATCGCAGAGATTGGCTCTTCGAGTGTTTGGCGGGTAAGTAGACGCACAGGCATTTCTTAAAGTGTAGGCTCGTGATAATTCGAACTTGGATATTTCATACTTTTGGTTAATTCAAACAAATATCGAAATTTGGGTTGTCCCATTATGTTTTCAATGCATTTATTAGTCACGGCGTTTCCGTGCGATTCAGACTTTTTGTTTTCGCAGCACCGTTGAGTGCGCTACTCTCCAAGCACCAGTGCGCTGCGGAGGAGCAACACACGTGGAGCTCACTTCCGTGGGTGTTGCTTGTCGGCAGTGCACCAATGCTCTTTAAAAAGCACGCACTACGGGGGCTAAAGGAGGGCACACATTAGGGTGGTTTCATGTGAAATCAAACATGTGTGTCAAGGTGCATACTTTGATTTGCCTAAAAAAATTATATATTATAGCCCCACTTCAAAATTAACCAAGCACCCTTGGGGAGACATGGGTCTTTGGAGACAAAAACTTCCTAAAACTGCATTCTTTTGAAAATGGCGATGGCTGTCGTTCTTCTGAATCTACCAGGCTTATAATTTCATGGATGAATATTTGAGCTATAAATTACTTTATAATGTCTATGCGGGCTGAATGTGCGTTGAAGTTGACTCTAAAACATTGTTTTCACAAAACACAAATTTTGGACTCGTTGAGAATTTGCAGGAGGGTTATCTCAGCATCTAGAGCAGATAGAAATATAACCGTTCCTGAAATGTGTAGCTGAACATGTGAAGCATACAATGTTGAGAGCAGAATTTTTGATATAAGTCTAGAAAATTTTATATTTGATCATTTGCTTTATTTTTTGTTAGCCATGCATTGAGCAGTGAACTTCAATGTGTAGTAAAATCACTAATAATGAGTTTATCTTAAAAGTGCTTCCAACATTGTATTCTCTACACTTCATAGTATCTAGCCATGTGTTAAAAAGAATATTTTGTTGAGCAGTTTTTTTTCTATCGTTTTTCCAAACAAAGGCAGGCAAGTTTTATTTATTTTGAGGACGATTCTACTGACTGAGAAAATGACCAGATATATGAAATCAGCACAAAAAGCTGAACAAGCTTGTGCAGTTTCATTGGGTTTGGTCATAAAATAAGAAAAAAAGCTCCAAGACCAGTGTTCCCCCTTAAAACTTCCTTTAATTCTTTTTTTTCCTCAAAAGTTTTGAAATGAAGCAAGGTGAAACACTACATTTAGGCTGTTTAATTTTTGTATCCAGTTCTGTGGGTTGTTACGAACGAGTGAAAACTAAGAAAACTCAACCTAATTTTTCTTGTAAATTTACGGCACATGACCTGCTTTTTACTTTCAACTAAACTGTCAGAAATAACAAGTGTCAAACATTGCACCGTCGACGTTTGGTGACATATTTGGAGCCTTGCATCTTAGGATTCATCATACATTTTGCTGATAAAATACTATTTGCCTGTAGTAGGCCTATACATGTGCTATCGACTGTACCCCCTTAGTTCAATTTATTTTAAAAAAAAAATTATATATGAACATTTAAATTTCGTGTCATATGTCAACTTTTTGTGGGCATTGCAGAAGGGCTCAAACATGTACGCATGCAACCAAATCAGCAAAACGGTAATTCCGCAAGTTGGCTTTACAAAAGGTTTTTTTACCCTTCAAAAAATGCTGAACCTACGGAAAAAAATGTTTTTTCCTACCTGGTTAAATTTTAAAATTAATGTTTGTTTTTTACTGCGACACCTCGTTTGTATTAAAATAAATAAATAGCAAAACTGCCATTTCAAGAGGCTAACAAAAGTTACTTAAATTTTTCATAAATATTAAATATTTACATTCCAACCAAAAATAGATACTTGCATTTTACTTATTCTAAAGTATATGCGTGCCAAATTTGGTTGTGATAGGACAATATTAAGAAGAGAAATGCTCTCGCCCACAAACTGTGAAGATGACCCCAAATAACATAAAAAGAAAAATGCATTTGAATGTTACCCTATATGTGTAGCTATACCAATTTGCAGTGCAGAAAATAATATTTTGTTAATAACTTTACGCGAGAAATTGAAGTTACAAAAGGCGGCCATGCAGAGGAGACAGCTAGGCCTACATGTCAATGTGATGGCGGGTGACGTCACACCTTGAAGAACCACGCAGGGAAAAACGGCTCAAATTCATGCTGTTCTAGTTTCCCTGGAGGTTTTCAAATGCGTATTTGACTAATTTCGCGTTCATAACTGGCACTAATTATTTTCATATATGAAACATAAAGATTCAAGATTAATAAAACATCATAAAACCCAAAATCAAGTTTTTTTGCAAAATGTTGCCATTTTTCGACCCGCATCTTCCTTTAAAGGAAACGGAAATTAATTTTTGGCTGGGATAAATGACTTCAGATTGGGACTTTACTAATAGAATATTGTTTAGTGGGCCAAAAGAAAGAAGGTAGAAAGTCAAAAGCCTGCTTTTAGGTATATAAATTTGAAAATACAGCGGACTATTTCGTACCTCCTTTCCTTCGAAAGCTCTCTGCCTTTCTGCTGTGATACGTCCATCGGTACCCAAGGCATGCCAACCGTCCCCAAAGCACATCCCACGAAAAACAACTTCCCTATTCGCGTCTCCAGCTCGTTACTCGCCCTCCCGCAGCGGAAAAGGGAAGCGCTCTAGTGAGGGCCACCCGGTTCTCCCGCTCGGCGGGCACAGCGGAACTGTTCGCGATCATGGCTCGCGAAATGTCATTTCCGAATGCAAACAACACTCTTCACTTTCCCAATGTAGTGCTGCAGCCGGCATGGGAATGCACCTTATTACAGAGTTTTAGTATTGCGTGCAGAAGCAAGAGCTGTGCGTTTGCGTTGGAGTTGCGTGCTCCACGCTGTGCATGCACGTCGTCGCGAAGCTCCAATCCAAGGCCGTATTTTAGTGCACGCGCAGTGTAGAGCACGCAGCACAAACACACAGTGCTTGCATTCGCTCGTATACACAACACTAAAACTCAGTACTGTTGCACCGGTTTTCAACGCCAATGAAACGCGCTGCAGTGAGCAGACGGGCAAGCGGGTAAGCGTTCCTTCGAACTGGAAAGGCTGAAATTGGGAAAAAGGACGGCACATAAAAATTAAAGAAACAAACTGTTTAAAAAGAATGGTAACTAAAAGGAAATTAGTTTATTTATTTTTATTTATTTTTGAGAGGGGGGGGGGGGGTGAATTTTGTCCGGAAGGATTGACGGCAC